CCCCAAAACCCCAAAACCCCAAAACCCCAAAACCCCTAGAAATCCGATTTGAGTTGAAAATAGAGCTATAAAATAATAAAATGTTTGACACAGACTCGGCATTACTATCCCTAGTATTTCAGGTTCTGAAGTACTTTATACTGTTAGGCATTGCAATGATGATATATGTGGGGTACTACGTCCTGATCAGGCCTCACTTGTTCAGATGGAAGTATAAAAAGTACCCAAATGTCTACATGATTGACTCGATTAAGCCCCTAGGAGGAGACCTTGCACTCCATATGGAAGATGTCAAGCAGGATAAAGTTCATTATTCCCATATTGTAGAAGCAGCTCCAGAGTTGAACAAGTATGACCTGCAAGTAGAAATAGAAAGTATGCAACCCGTGATTTCACTGGTATCTAATGAGAGTATTAAGGAATTTTGCGCAATGGCTCCTGACAAAATAGATAAGCTTGTCTGGAATAGAGGAGTTCTCAAAATGGTTGCCGATTCATTTGCTGCTCATCCCTCTACTGAGAAAACTAAAGGAAGAAGGAAGGATCTTACTAGCATTCTTGGGCTGAATTCTTCATCAAAATATATCCCTACAATGCTTGAGGTTACCAAAGAAGTTCTGGCTGAAATGAAGAAATTAAAAGATGTCAACTATCTGAATCACATGAACAATCTGACTGTAAAGATTTTATCGAACCTTCTGTTCGGAAAAGATATTCACTATTTGATTGAGAAGAAGTATACCTACCAAAATCATGATGGAACTTCAGATGAGCTGAACTTGTTGGACTTCTTCTTTAAGCATTGTGAGAATTTGGTAGCTGAATACTACAATCCTATCACAACACTCCTTCCGTTTGTTGATAAGAACAACTTGTTTGGACTCTGGAAGAGGAATCATGTCAATGACATACAGTTTAAGACTAGACTTACTGAAATTGTTGAGAAATCAAAGGATGAAAATTCCTTGTGGAGCCAAATGAAAGCCTTAAACCATTACTCTTCAGAAGATATTTTTAGTGATTTGATTATCCTACTTCTCGGAGGAACTGAGAGTACTTCTCACTCTCTCGTGTCACTCTTCTTCTATCTTGCCAAACATCCCGATGTGAAGGAAAAGTTGGTCAAAGAGCTCCGTGATATGGGATTCCATAAAAACGAAGAGCTGTACCACACTAAGATTCATGACTGTGACTACCTTAATTATGTAGTAAAAGAGGTATTCAGAATTGATGCTCCAGTCACAAGAGGATTTTATTATGTAGCGAAAGAGGATATCAATATCTGAAATGTGCCTATTAGTAAAGGAACCGCTCTCAGGCTCGACCTACTTACTCCCCATTTCAACACTGATGACTGGAAGGATCCTCTCTCCTTCGTGCCCGAAAGATTTGATCCAGAATCTGAGTTTTATGTGAAAGCAATGAAAGAATCTAAGAAAGCAGGAGTGTTCTCAAGAAGAGCATTCGGTCATGGTGTCAGGAGCTGCCCTGGCCAGACCTTTGCCACTTTAGAGACAAAAGTCATTGTTGCCTATCTTCTCACCCATATGGACTTCGAAGTCGATGAAAGCATCTTAAATAGAGAGAATGTTGGGTTTGGTATGGGGAGCCATATTGTTCCCAAATTCAAAGTTAGTGAATTCAGAGAATAATTCCAGAGTTATTTGAAAAGTTGCGGAGCAGTTTCAATATATTTGATATTCAGTTCTAATATATGTGAATGGGGTTTTGGGGTTTTGGGGTTTTGGGGTTTTGGGGTTTTGGGG